TTCACTGCCTTCCAGCATGTGTCTGTGGGGGATGGTTTCGAAGCAGGGGCTGTCCAGATTTAGGTCTTCAACTTTAATTCACTGGGGCTTTCTGAGAAATAATGGGAGGCGAGGCTTACTTGCCAAACTGCGTCCTTTTGCTTGTCAAAAGTTGCAGCTGAAAACCACATTAATTCGGGACCACCCACTCCCTAGAGTTTTTTGCTGTGTAAGCCAAGGGGGTTTATAACTCAGAAGCAGCCTATCACAAGTATTGGAGTTAGCATATCGGGAGTTGGTGCTTTCTCCAGGCCTCCTTGTGCTATGCGACCTTACGGTTGTTGAGTTCACACAGGGTAATCTGCGGCCCACCATCCAGCCATGGGATAATGCATATCATGAGATAGGATAAGTTTAAACATTTGGAAATTTGGACTTTAAATTGTTTATTTATATCCTTTTCCTATCTCACGCGATGGATTCCCACCCGACCTTCCCCTCATCACAGATTACTTGGGGCTCCAAGACGAGAATGACAGTAGTGGGATGTCACATGACAATCTGAACACTTAGCACGCTTTACAGAGATGATTGACAGGTCAAAGTATATGAGTGGGGGAGTGGTTTGGTGGGAGAGAGGCCAGAAGATTTGATTCAACTTAGCCTACAGCACGTTTCCACACCTTGGTCGAAGTAGAGAGAGAAGTGCATACCGTGAGATAGGATAAGTATATAAATATACAATTTATAGTTAAAATTTACCTGACAATCAATGAACATCTAACTGAAGAGACTGTAGTCGTTTTTCAGGTCATTCGTTTGCTGTTTGATTTAGACTGAAGTTTTGTATGTGGTCGCTTGAAAAACGGGAGGAGATTTTTCTTGATGGGGTTGTGAATTGACTCCGTCATTTCCACAAAAACATCTTGTACAAACTTCTCATATTTGTCTTTTCCTGTTTTCTCCATTGATTTCATAGATGCTATGACAGCTACACCAACACAGTGATGTTCATTAAGGATCATCAGTTCAGGAGACTCTTCCAGGACCGGATTTCTCATCGAAGCAACTGTGCCACATAAGTTGTTGACTTGAGTCTTAAATGTCTGCTGTGAAGCAAAACCTTGTTCATTGCTTCTTGTATCCACATTGTCACCTTGCTTCTCAAACTCTTGCAGAATTCTTGCTTGTTCTGGTCCAGATATCACCCATCTAGTTAAGGCAACATTTTCTGTTGATCCAATTGCACCACCTGAGTGTTTTACAACTTTGCTGTTTTGTTCATGAGCTTGATCCAAAAGCATGGTAGAAAATGTGTTTGATGTTTTGGGGAAAACCCAAACTCTCCGAAGGGACTCTCTTTTGTCAACAGGAAGGGCTTTCATATCTCTGACAGCCAGCATGCATAGTTGGTGTGATCAAGAGCAAAGAACCAAGGGACAAGTTATTCCATTACCTGTACAGACACATGTTTCCTTTGCGATGGGACTTCACAAAGATTAGTATCATTGTGTCGAGATGAAGAATCAAATCCCAGTATTTGAATGTTGGGCTCTTTTCTGACATCCAATTTTTCCAGCCAGTCTTCAAAAGAGTGTTGAACATGAGATTCCAGTGAGGACATATAAGCATCTCTTTGAAGCTTTGCTAGTGATGAGACATGAGACGCCGAAATGAAAGATTCAGCTGTTCCTCTTGAGGCAATACCTGCTTCTGTTTGTGCTAAAGTCCACCCAGAATCTACCAACAAGTCTCCAACCATTTTCCATGAGGCTATGTCAATGTGAAGACATCCAAGCATGATAGTGTACATGTCTTCACCAAACACAATAGGCCATCTCCATTGAACATATTTTGTTAGATCAAAAAGTGGTTGGTCTACAGCCATGATTGGGAGTTGTCCTGTGACTGTCTTCATGATAGACATACCATGCCTAACCATGGTAAGGACTTGCTGCTTTGTCCTTAAAGAGAGGAGGGAGAGAACTTATTCCTGCTGCACCCTGTTCCTGGGATTGGCAAGAAGCATGAAATGTACCATTCAATAAACTCATCTTTTTCCAAATGTTCTTTAGCAAGAAGGCCAATGCAGTGCTTGATCCAAGATTCTTCTTTAGCTTTGGTGATGTCCTTGACTTGATGATGCATGTGAGTTCCACACACATTATCTCCCTCCACATTGCAGGCTACTGCAGGAACTATACAGTACCGTATATTTCCATAGATAAGTCAAATTTTGAAGACCAAAAAAATCAGCCTGTAGAAGGGGGTCAGCTTATCTATGGGTTACACTTTTGTCAAACTTTTTTTCTGGTTACCAGCAGTAAGAAAACAACATTGTATCGTTTCAGGTGAACAAACAAGAGAAAATGATTTTGCAGTAAAGACGTCAAATTGGCAATTAAACATCACGTGACAAGATTATTTACCTTTTCAGTTCTAATTTGTTTTAGCTGGGCATTGTATTATATGCAGGGATTAAGATTACCATGTGTATTTGTCTCATATACATCAAGAAATAGCAATCAGCTGTACAAATTTCCCGGCGATCTACCGGTGATTTATTTTAAACATACACAATAATATAACAGGATGAATTCTGATGCAGTGATCAGTAAAATATAATGCTCAATACTATTATGTAACCAAAAGAAATATATATTAGCACTGTGTAATTTTAATAACAGGTTTTGCTCTATAAATGTAAAATGTGTATGATCAACACTAAGGTTATACTGACCCTCATGAACATGGTAAGCGGAAGTTGTACACACATGGAATGAGGTGAAATAAGCATGCCATTTAAATTCACACTCGTTTTCACTGATGTTACTGTAAACTAGCGGTCCATGGATAACGAGGCGGTAATCAGTTCGTGATTGTTGATAATGTGTGAAATTAGTGTTTTTGCGGTTAGAAGAAAAACATACCCTCACGAACATGGTAAACGGAAGTTGTATGCACATGGAAATGGGTAAAATATGAAAGCCAGTTTGTTGACATGTGATCGTCCAGCTACAATAAATATGATATTTAGTAAAACAAAATATATTATCTATTTTCTGTCAACTACACTTCATTTCGAGGTGTGAGTAGACACAATATGATTGTGAATAATGCGAAGTTATAATTATCTGTAACTGCCAGTTGTCCGTGGTCTGAGTTGGCCACGATTGGGACATCGTAGGGGGTCGGCTTATGAGAAAACATACCATTTTGATACTGACTTTAAGGGTCAAGTTAGGGGGTCGTCTTATCTATGAGGTCAGTTTATCTATGGTTATATACGGTAACCGTAATAGTTAACGATCTTGAGATGGATGTTGTCTAGCATAAACCGATTGAAGTCGGCTAAGGAGTAGGTTCTGTACAGGGCGAGGCGTTCATTTGCCTCGAGGCTAAAATCGACTAAAGCATCCATGAGAAGTTGTAACGGTTCGGTGCCCACCTGACCTAAGCTTTTGTTCAGGGTCAAGAATTGATCTTGACTCAGCACTCAGCATAGGGCTGAATAAATATCAAGCACTTTGATGTCCACCCTGACGTAGTTGAATAACTGTTTTTCGATCAATGTCCACATGATAATAGCACAGTGCAAGGTTTTCTGCTATAATCCAGCAGGGGTAAGTCACATTGTGTTAGAATCGGAAATCCTTGATTTTTTGGTGGCCATCTTGGATGCCATCTTGTATTTTGGAAAATGGGCCCAAAAAATTGGGCACAACCCCAAAAATATGTTCTATCATGATGTTCCCTAGCGCTGTGCAAGGTCTGCTATAATCCAGCGGGGGAACGTCATATAGTGTTAGAATTGAAAATCTTTTATTTTTGGCGTTAATGGTAGTGTACAAATAATGTGAATTCACATAAGGAAGGAGGCCAAAAATATATTTTGAAACTACTGAGGGACAACTGTTTGTACTTTGACATTTTATTGCTGTCTTAAAGAAGCATTAAGATCTCATTGAGTACATGTATGTATACATTGATATAAAATTTGCTTTTGCTTGTACTCAGACTCAGTTTATTGCCAAAGTCTGATGTGCAGTATTAATACATGGGAGAAACTGTTTCACACACAAAGTTACTGTTAAGTTTCAGTTAGTTATATTTGCAAAGTGAAGAATGTCCTGACCCCATCTCATCTTCTGTTGGCGTTAATTCATGCATAATGAGGGTTTATAGCCTCTTTGTTAACTATACGTTTATTCACAGTGCAGTGTCTTTGGTATATTTTGTTTAATGCAGTATTACCCTGTCAGTGCTATTTTGTCATTTATGTGTATTTGTGGACCAATATATTTTGAGGTAGAATTTGAAAATGAATGTCTAGAATGGCATTCAAAGTATGAAAGATTTTATGATTGAAAAGATGTGACATGTACATATTGATATTGAAATATTAATAATATAAAAAAAACCAATAAATAAATAAAATAAATTAAAAAAATAAAAAGAATTTGGAAATCTTTTATTTTTGGTGGCCATCTTGGATGCCCTCTTGGATTTTTCGGAAAATGGGCCCAAACATTCGCGCACACCCCAAAAATATGTTTTATCATGATATTCCCCAGCACTTTGCAAAGTTTCATGCTTAAGTCTGGTGTGTAACGATCAACTTCAAAATCAGACCTAAGCCACTGCACTATAATTCATTAAATTCATTGTTAATCTGACTTCTGTGAGATCACAATTAGTGAAATCAGACTTCCCACTGTGCCCATTTGTAACAAACATTTTTTTTAACATAAGGGGGAAAGTGATGAATAATAACTGTAAACAGGATAAACTATAAACCAAATTGTAATTATCATATTGAGGGATAAATTGGTTGAAATATGTTTCATTTGACAGTAGAAATCTGTACTTCTGTGTAATGTAATGGCTTGAAGGTAATATTTGTAACACAAACCAAATATTCAAGATTAGAAGATGGTATGTAGAGGTTTTGGTGAATGATAGCCATGTTCGAAGCCTATATCATATACCTTTGAAATCATGTTGAAAATATTCTTTTTCAGATTGCCCAAGTTGCAAGATGCGATACTCACTTGCCAAAGGAGGATGCATGCATTTCAAATGCCCAGAATGTGCTCATGAGTTTTGTAGTGGCTGCTCCCAACCCTTCTACAAACAAGGAGTAAGTAATTACACATTACATATATTGCATGTTTTACATAATTCTGACAAATATCCTACTGCTGCCATAATTCCTGATTTTGGCTATCATCACATTATAAAAGTCTTTAGATTTTCAACAGAATTCCTCTTTGCTATCAACTATCCATAATTGGTTGTACAGACAATGGTGTCCTGCTCTTGTGCATGTGTAATGTGGGAAGGCTTTGGAGTTTCTCACATTGTCTGTAGTCTATAGTTTCAGTTTAACTTTTAAAGATACTTGGTATCTTATTGATGCTTTGACTTGTTCTTGGATCCAGTCACAGAAGTTATTGGAGGTGAAGTGTTATTTGACAAGTAGCATGACGATGGGGGTATGAGACCACTTCTGCTCAGGGCGTTATTTCTGGCCAATTCGGTACCCATCAGCTACTAAAAAAGAACACCCCGAGTGTGGGACATTGTTGGATATCTCCCGCTGAGGGTGTTAATTTTTTTTTTAATTCATTTAATTTTTAATTTCGGAGATTTTACTATCGGAGAGTGCTGTGGAGATACGATCCTCGATCGTATTCAACTTCGCTTCAGCCAGATGCTGCACGACAGGCGCGGCGATGATCATTGACAATAAACCGCCACCAGCCACACCAAGACCCATGCTGGCTGCTACGAGCATAGTGTCAATGCCATCAATAGCATTCACAACTCTGTGGTGCTTTTTTTGTAATCTGATTCGCACATCACCCACCTGTTTGAGTTGATGTTTGATGTCGCTTATTTGTCGCAAACAAAATCCATCCACAGTTTCCAAAGTTTGAGCTACAATCCCATCTTGATATAATATAGGTTATGAAATGACCTTCAAATTGTTCTCTGACAATATTTTATTAGTATATTTAAGGCTGATAAGGTTCACATTTTCGTATAAATAAATACGCTTGATTGAAATGGTATATACAGTTCACCTAGAATAAAAACAAAGACCGTCACGAGGTTTGCAAAGGGGACTGTTCCTGGTTGAACATAAATACGACAAAAGTTGATGTTTATGTTCCTTACCCCAGCGTATTGTTAACCCACCCAAAAGTTTCACATCTTCACATTTCCAAGATGGAGTTCAATAATAAGTGCAGAGAGAAATTTTATACTGGAATCAGGATTAAAAATCATGGTGGTATTCAGCAATGTCAAACATTAATAGTGCACTTTTGGTGGTGGGGCTAACATAGAGCCTGGATGTGCTAAATGGTAATAACTCAGTATTTCATCAGACGAATATGGATATTCTACGAGACGAATATGGATATTCTACGGTCAGTCCATCAATTCATTATTACATCAAAACGTTTTGATTCATAAAGTTTTGTAGCTTCTCTTATTTTTTTGTTATTTGTATCAACTGGCCACGAAACAAAACCAAGATAAATTGTTGATATCCATGATTGTTATTATTCAGAGATAACTTGTTATAACCACTATAAATATGTATTATGCACAAATGTGAACCTTCACATGTATTATGGAGCGGCATTTATATAAGCCATTTAGGCTTGTTTGCCAATCCTTTTCTTTCTTCTTGAATAGAATAAAATATGTTTAAACCACATAGAGCCTGTGTGATCTGGTATTCGCCAAATTTGTATGGAATTACGTTCCGGAGTGAAAGACATGAAAACAATCCCATAATTTTTCAGTTCGGTGACATAACCAAAATCATCTTCAACCATGTATGGGAAGGTAAGGGTAATATTCATTAACCAGTCAATTTTTGGTGATGAGATCATCATCCATTTGTCATTGTCGATGCGTAGAAGATGGTACAATGTGCCTTTTAACTCATTAAGCCCAAGAGACACTTCACTACTCAACACCTGGAACCCTCGCTGATTGCCCGGCTCGCTGTTGCGAGCTAATTAGAGCTATTCACACCTGATTTCCCTGGCAGGTTTCAGGGATGACAGGAAACTGTCTAGTCGATACAAACAAGCTCTGATTGTTTAATTGTGTAGTAAAGATACAAGCTAAAAGAAAGCTGGTGTGAATACATATCATGTATTTCAATTTTATTGCAAGTTTCTCTTGTAGACCTTTGGCGGCTTGTACATTTATGTTTTATCAACATATGTATGTATTCTTTGTATGTAAGAGATGAAACATACATAAACAAATTCTTTCTCTTATATCATTGTGTGAGGTTTCATTTTACAAAATACCTATGACAATGACATACTGTAATTTACATACATGCTTTATAATCTTCTACGATATTAGCGTTCTTGCCGATAGATTTCTACTGTATACTGAATATTTCAAGGAAGTACTATTACGCTAGTCTGTGACTAACAAAGAGCACATTCATAACTTTGTTTCATTTAGATTTAATGCGAAAACATACGTTATCATACGAACATACATATAAAAATTGTATAATACACATTCCTTGTATAGACATGAAACAAAGAGTCACGTGATAGGGCGTCATCAAATTTCCCGAATAGAACATTCAGTATCTCAGTCGCTCAATATAGTGGCTGATCATTAGTTGTCTATGACCAATCGTATCATGAGATACCTGTCACTGAGGAAGGGACAGGTGATGGGGCGTGGGCGAAATTTCTGAAGACCACGTTTGGTCACTCAACAGCTGGATAGAGATTGATTATTGGCTATACCGTTGACAAGTCGATATGCTGGGTTTCGGCTTTAACAACTCAAGCTATCATGTAACAGTTTGTGTATTGTAAACATACATAATCGTAACGATGTATGAAATATACACATAAGACAAATAGGAGTAGATAGATCTCAGAGATCGAAAACACATTTTAGTGTTTTTCGATAAGTAAACCAAAGTGATTGAAATCCATCCATTGAGTAGAGATAGTATTTATCGCATGATATTGCAGTAAGAACCCACCTTCCTGAGAAGAGGACTACAATGAAGGAAAAACAGAGGCGCAACTGTGGATTTAATGGCCGAAGGTGTGGAGGTTCTAGTGGACTACCCCAATCTTGAAATAGAATACTAATAATAAGCCTAAAAGATTTTAGCTATGTGGCAACTTGCGTCACCAGCATAATTGTTACTAGCCAAAGAATGCTAAGGCCCAAATGACGAAACGTCGCAGGTCTAATTGGGAGCGAACGACGCCAGGCCCTGATACTTAACTTAACTGTTACTAGATTCCCCGAGTGAAAACCCGGGAAAGACTGGGTAAGAAGGTAACCCAACCGAGGTTCCCGCTGGAAAGCAGGTAACCGGAAACCCTAATTAAAATATATACAGTCATCCCTCGTAATAACACTCTTCGCGATACCGCGGATTCGGTTAAACCGCGGGGTAATTGGTGGCTCCCATAAAAAAAGTTGCCCAGTCATCACACATATTCACGTCATCGAAAATAGCACACCAACAAATCCGCTCTTGAGCTCTGGTTAATCACGTTGTAAACTAGTGAAATTCAGTGCGGATTGCAATTAACAGTGTTTATCGTACATATCCATGTTTTTTCAGATGCTTAAAACATGCCGGGTCTTTTTCAATACAAATTGATGAACAGCGAAACATCGTAATAACTTTATCATAAAGACATGTCGATTATCAGCCGAGTACTTACGTTTGCTATGATGCAACACACCGCGTAATTGCGCGGGTAAACACCGCCATCCCAGAATGTATGATGTCAGAAAACACATTTTATTTGATTAAATTCAATCCCATTTTCATTCATTAAAACTGTTTACAATAACAACGGAGAAACCGTGAGTGAAATGGCATTACCTCATTCCATACAACGCCCGCTTACCACATTCGTGAGGGTCCGTTTTTCGCGCCTACTGCGATAGCACCAATTTCACATTTTTCTCAGCAATCACTTAACAGATTACAGCCTTGTCATCCATTGACCCCAAGACCGGCGTTATTGACTCATTGAACTCATATTTGACAATTAATTGCCAACATTTTGTTTTACAATCAAAGTGGCACGTGCAGCGGGGAAGTCAGCGGTGACTTGTCAAACTGTCTCCTACGTAAAATGTATCCAGCCAGGTAACCCAAAGTGCTTAGCAATGCTTATTATTATGTTAAATATGTTTAGTAGAAAACATGCATTATACTTATACGATAGCAATATATAAGATCTCTGTTAGAATAACTGCTTGACATATAAATTATTCTGATAATGAAATAGAAATTCTTGGATGTTATATTTTCGGATCGTTTTTAACTGAATCACCGGTACATTGGACCAAAACATCGATGTGTGCCCAGCTGATTGCTATTTCCGGCTTAGTTGAATAACAGGTAGCATGACAGGAATAACAATTGAATTATCATGTCTTGTGATGTTTGATTGCAAGTTTCATGTACATACATCTATTTTTGATTTACAAAGTTTTGTTTTTTTTCACCTCCAACAATACGATATAGTTTTGACTGGGCACAATACACGAAATAGCAGTTTTGTTATGTCCATGGAAAATACGATTTTACTTGGCCTTTGTTCCGCGTTATGTAATCGTTACTATAACGCGGGGGGTCATCTATGGACCCCAAGACCCGCGTTATGGCGAGGGATGCCTGTATATTCTTATGAGTTATGTTGAAAGGTAGCCCACAAGAACCACGCCACCTAGCACAACAGTGCTACCCCACACCATACGGCTAAGGCTGAAGATACGCGTACCCGCCATGATTGCCTCATATAAGAAATTCACTTACCTCTTTAATATGTACTTACTTGAAAATTTGTACCAAGGCATCGTTTATATCGCTGATAAATTGATGAACCCCTTTACTGCTAAGGTGTGTCCCATCCCACTGGAACCAGGATGGGTCCGTGGCCACTATATGTGGATGGGGAATTACTACAAAGTTAGGAAATTATAGGCGTAAACATTCCCTCTGGATTATGGTTGCCTTATTCCTGTGGATTCCACAGACACATACAGAATGGAAATGAATTTTTTTAACTAAGTCATAGCTATCCCTAGTGGTATGCTTAAAAGAGTTATGCA